CTGTCTCAGCTTCCTGCTGGGATTAAAGGTATGAACTACCATACTCAGCAAATACTGGACATTCTTGATGTTGATCAATCAGGGAAGGGATGAACCCTTAGTTGGGGAATTAGGGAATTATGGGACTTAGACCATAGTAATGACTACCTCCTTCTCATTGTCCTGTGCCAACAGCTCAAGGACTCTAGTTATGTTAAAGCCACTTCTGCTTGGAAAGGTTTAAAAATGGCAATGTAGAAACCAGGAAGGGAACACAAACTGAAGTTGATCAGCTATAAAATATAAACTAGATCATATGTCACACCGTCAGCAGACTATAGTAATGGAGAGTGTATTACTGGAGGCAAACCATCCTCTTCTGTAAACACTCCAAGTGGAAGTTGAATCTCAGAGGAGAAGATGGGGTTTGATCTCTATGTGTTTCTTTCTACAGAAAACTCAGGGTTCATTTCTCTTAAAGACAGTGAACCTCCTTGCAAGTTCTTTAAAAATTTTCAAAGCTATTAAGTCTCATGAAGACTCTTTGGGAGTTAGGATAATACTATTTCTATTTTTTTTTTTTTTTTGAGTTAACTAAATTTTAATGAGATTACATGTCTTGGGCTAGGGATCTAGCTCAGTGGTAGCAAGCTTGCCTAGCATGTATAAAGCCCTGGGTTCAACCCCCAACAATGCAATAAGTGAATAAATAAAATAGAGAGATTACATGACTTGCCTAGGCTCCTGAGGTAAATGACAATGTTGAAGGAAAAATCCAGTTTTTGTTTTTTAAATTACAGCATTCTCTCTTTATCCACAGTTTTACTTCACATAGTTTCAGTTACCCATGGTCAACCATAGTCAGCAAATATTAAGTGGAGAATTCCAGAAGTAAACAATTCATAAGTCTTCAGTTGGGAGCCATTCTGAGTAATATGATGAAATCTCACTCAGTCCTATGTCAACCTCACAGTAAAGGATGGGAATCTTCCTTTTCTGGTATATCCATGTTGTATATGCTACTTACCCATTATCCARTGGGTATCTTAGTCACCATATCAACTGCCATGGAATTTCAGTGCTTAAGTCTAAGTAACCCTTCCTTTACTTAATAATGGCCCCAAAATATAAGGCCAGTGATGCTGGCAATTCAGACATGCCAAAGAGAGGCTGTAAAGTGCTTTCTTTAAGTGGAAAGATAAAAGTTCACAATTTAATAAAGAGAAAAATTATATGCCAAAGTTGTTAATTACAAATTAAAGTTGATCACAGCTATGGATGTATAGGAAAAATAAAACCATAGCAGTTTCAGGCATTTGCTGAGGGTCTGGAAATGTAATCCTTTTGGAAGAAGGGGGATTACTATATTCTTAACCCAAGGAGATTTCAATTATCTTCATACTAGGGAAGCAGACATAATGTCAAGATTTTTTTGACTTACCATTTTGCATTATTTACAACACATGCCCTTTCCACTTCACTCACATCTTAGATAACTGCATCAATTGTATTCAGAAGAAACATTTTTTGTATTCCTCGTGGGCATGGTACTACTGATGTCTGTCTGAACAGATTTAACTCAGTATAAATTAAAGCATGCAAAAGGACATAACTGCACATACCCAAGTGGCCCTGCAGAGTACAATTAGTCAAATAAGTGCACTGTCTAAAACTATGCTCTTTCTCTTATGATTCAACCCTAATAATTTTCCATAATATCCATGGGTAGGAAAAAAATAACTTTATAATTTTGAATTTCTGAAAATCACTATGAGATTTTAAAATAAAATGTTTTAACAGTATACAATATTACAAAGTTACCCAAGCTTAGTTTAGAAACAAAGCATATTCTAAAAGGCAAAAAAAAAAAAAAAAGGTTGTAGTTAGTTTGCGATTATTGAGAGCAAACTAATAAGACAGAAAAAGTTTTAAAAGTATAATATAATCAGCAGTCAGGTCTTCACAGCCAAGGAGCACAAAGCAGATGATCACTCTTTGGTAATGTGGGTCTATTTTGTTGTTGCTACTTAGAAAATCATTTTCACTCGTGGAAAGTTTTCTAGATCTATACTTTATGGCTAATGAGCTAATTAGGCAGTTGGAAAGTATGAATTAAGCACCTGATATGAGCTCCAATTAGAAGTGGTACTGTGGATATGTAAAAGATGTGTAAGATGAGGCTCCTGTCTTCAAACATAAAGGAGAGGGGGCAAATTAACATACATTTAACATTTTTTTTAATTGACCCAAACCTATAAGAAAGAGTATATGTATATTTTTTTGATACTGGGGATTAAACTCAGGAGCACTCAACCACTGAGCCATATCCCCAGCCCTATTTTGTATTTTATTTAGAGACAGGATCTCACTGAGTTACTTAGCACCTCAGTCTTTGGCTGAGGCTGACTTTGAGCTCGGTATCCTCCTACTTCAGCCTCCCAAGCCGCTGGGATTACAGCCACTGAGCCCTGCAGAAACTGAATTGTTTTAAAAGTACTGTAGGAGTTCAGAGAAGTAGAGATTACTGTGATTTGGAATAACATAAATAAAAAAGCTTTATTAAATAGTTAAATTTAGTAAAATATATAAGAAATATTGGGAGGGAGGTTGCAGAGAAATCTGTTCAACTCTTAAAATAGTGTTTTTTTAAATTATAAATAACTGTTTATGTAAGGATTCCATTTTATTAACATGTACCACCAATACTTTTACTGATATAAAAATATTATGAAAAAGGCAAACCTATCTTATTTGCAAGAAGTTTGATGAACCTGGACCTTTTTATTTTTTATACCTTTACTTTATTGATTTAGATTTGGTGCTAAGGATCGAACCCAGGGGCCCACACATGCCAGGCAAGCGCTCTACCACTGAGCCACAACCCCAGCCCAAATCTGGGTCTTAAAAAAAAAATCCTGAGAAGACTAACTCCTGTCTTAATTTTTAAGACATATATTAGTTCAAATTAGATGTTGTAGAGTGTACCTGTATTCTGTAGTTCTGGTTAATCCGGAGGCTGAGGCAAGAGGATGGCTTGAGACAAAAAGTTAGAGGCTGTACTGGACAACACAAAGAGACCCACCTCTTAAAAAAAAGAAAGAAAGAAGAAAAAGAAAGACTAGGGATGTAGCTTAGTGGTAAAGTACTTGYCTAGAATGTAGAAGGTTCTAGGCTCAGTCCTTATCACTGCAAAAATAAATACTTAAGTAAATTAAAATTTAAAAATAAAATAAAAACACACTATTTCAGACAGAAACATTGAAAATTTGTTCTGAGCACTGGGAATATATGTGGATGAAGTTTCTTGTCTTCAGGACTTTCAGTTTGGTAGAAAACAAGTAAATAAAATGATTGCAAATCAGTGTGAGAACCTCTATGAATACAGAGCAAAAGAGGCAGAGGTTGAGAGGTAAAGGTTAGAACAGGTGACCTTCAAGGTCATCCTACAGGACAACCAGGAAGGGACAAATGTGTGTGTCTGTGGGAGGGTGAATTCTGGGGGGGGAGACAGTTGGAAGGAGCATTCCAAAAAAAGTTGAATGTAAAAGGCACAGAAAAGGGCACAGTGAGTGAAGAGTAGGCCTGAGACCAGAGTTAAGAGTTCCTACACTTATTTCAAACCTTCATTTCTATATGGGGAGAGGGAACCTCTAAAAACTACAACACAGTGACTATGAAAGATAAATATAAACGAATGGTAATGATTACATTTTTATATTTTGGGGAGTTAAGAATTTACTGTTCACACTTGCATTAATTTTATAAAAATATCTATCTTCTAATATAAGCCATTTGGTGACGATTCAAGCATTTAACATTCAAAATTTTCAAACAGAATGATGATCAGAGCACTAAATAGATCTCTCTCTAGAAGAAAATACATATTTTAATAAGGAATAGTTTGCTTTAGGGTTCCAGGGATTATAGAACCAGAATTAATAAAAGGAGCATTAAAAACTGTTTTAATAAAATCATTAAATAGCAATACCATGTATTTTTGAAGGCCTCTTAAAAAATTTACAGTTTATAAATTGTTCTTATATGCATTAAGTCGTTAAATTAGTACACATATACCGACATATCATTAAACATTAGCTTAAAAATAGCCACAGCATTAGGCATTTTATTCAAAGCTTTTTAAAAAAAGTATCGTAATAGGTAAGCTTATTGATAAAGAACAATTTAACACCATGCTATAGCTGCAAAGTTTCAGGAAAGCAGAATTTAAAACTTCCATTATAACTTTAACCGGAGGTTATGTCAAAATTTTACAACTAGGAACATATGAATGTATGTACTACTGAGCACAACATGGGCACGTTTTTGTTGCTATGAGAACCTTCTATTTTGTATCAGAAATCGCAGCCTTGACGACGCAGTGTTTGCGCCTATTTTGCACATGTTTTTCTACAGCGATTCCTCTCTAGTAATAGTTGAATGGCTCTGGTTTCCTCTTGCACTCTGCCCATGTCCGTTTTAGCTCCAGTTCTCATAGGCTGTACCGTCACTTTCTCTGGGAGGACTGGACAGGAGAAAACAGGGATGGAGCCAGCAAGGCGGTTCTGCAGCAGCCCAGCGGCTTCCCAGCGCCAGGGAGCTGTGAATGGGAAGGGGGAGGAGGGTGGATTGCAGTTTAATTCTATTACGCCCTGGGGAGCCGAGCTCTTCACCCAGCTCTCTGGCAGCGTTTTAAATCCGCAGTTAAAAAAAAAAAAAAATCGAGCACGCCACGTCGTACAAACGAGGGAGTGAGAGGTAGAGCACAGTATGTTGTCCCCAAGTCAATCACAAACAAAGGAAAGGAGGGGTTCACAACCTTGTTACGGAATGATTCCCCTAGACACGGAGAAACCCAGACCCCGGAGAGAAAAGGCCGGAGACCCGGTGGCGCGGGTCCAGGGAGACCCGCAGGGTTTTCCGATGCGCGCTCGCCGGGAGAGGGGCGGGGGGAGGGTGGTMGCGGCGGGAAGCCGAGGAGGCGGCTCTAAGCCCCCAGCCCCGCCCCGTTTGGGCGGCCCCTCCCCCATCCCGGGCTCCCGGCGTCGCGGGGGCCCAAGGGGGGCGACCCGGGCTAACGACTGGCAACTCCCAGGCGACCGGCTCCGCATCAAGATGGCGGAAGATAAAGACAAGGAAGGTATGGATGGTAGCGCGGAGACAGCGGCTGCCCTCGCCGCCCGCCGCGACCCCGGGAAGTGCCGGGTGGGGACAGGTCATCCCCCATCCTTAGCCCCCACGAGCTGGGAGAGGGTGGCCTGAGGAGGGGCCGCCTTCCCCGCGTCCTCGCAGCCACAAGCACGGGCGCCTCGGCCCCGCCTCCCCATCCTCCGCCCTCTTCTTCCCCGCCCTCCGCGCCCTCCCCTCCCCCTCAGAGGCCGGGCTTCGGCTTCTGCGCGGGCTGCGGCCCAGGCGCCAGCCCGGGAGGCTGATAATGGCGTCCTTGTTCTCGGTTGCGCGGTCGCCACCGCCGTCTCCACACCCTCGTCCTGGGTCTCGGGGCCGCAGGCGCCAGGCCGGCAGTTGTCCAGGCGGTGAACACCCGAAGGTCGTCTGGGCGAGGACGGGTTCTGGCCGCCGGAATCTGGAGGGATCCTCTCCCGCCGCTCTGAGACCCCGCCCGGGCTCAGCCTGGTGGCGCTCGCCGCCACCATTTTGCCTCCGTAGTGAGAATGCGGCCTCCGGGTCACAGCCGCTCGCCGGGTGTCTCCGGCCTGCGAAATGCCTGCCCGCCCCGCTCTACCCACTCGGGTCGGGTCTTAAGAAAACAAAACAAAGCAAACGACAATTTTAGTAAAGACGAAAAAGCAAAACCCCGCAATGACGCGTTGGAGCCGCTGTGCGCCACCCCGACCTCCCGGTCGCACTGGGCAGAGGTGGGACTGGCYGGTGAGGCTTGAGGTGGCCGCATCAGAGGGGTTGATGCGTTTCTTGTGCGAAAAATCGATTATCCACGTGTAATTGCAAGGCCTTTAAATTGTTCCTGATTCAGCGGTATGGTTTAAAATCCGACCCTTAGTTACTGTCCTTACTTAACTCAAAAAAAAAAAAAAAAAAGCCATGGAACAGTAGAGGTAAAATAATTCTGGAAGTGAAAATAATATTCCACCTTTTGTTTCCTTTCCAGAGCGCTGAACTCCACCCCCCCTTTTTTTTCTTAGCATGGAACATCGAAGTGTAGTAGTCAGGTTAACACCAATATTTACAGGAGAGATTTAGTCACTCATAGTAATTACAAAATAAGCAGTGAAACATGAAATTGTGCCAAAGATCTACTTAGGGATAACAAATACTGATTTTTTTTTTAATGATATGATTAATCTGAGAAGTCAAGATTATTTTATAGGTGTTACCTTTACTAAGATGTCCTTATAATTTAATGGTGCTGTTTTAAAAATGGCAAAAAATCTTAATTTTTTTCGATTAAAAAATTTCCCCAGAGAGCTGAGTGACTTATTTTTTATTTAAGTTCTTGTTTATTAAGAACAAAAAGGAGAGTCTTTTTTTTTTTAAAAGATTTGATTAGGCTAGCATGAGAAATGTGCACTGGGTTTTTTTTTTTTTGGCAGATTTTTTTCAGTTTTTATTTTTACTTTAAAAAACCATTAAAAGCATTCCAAATTTTTCAGTTTTCAAAAAATATTTTTGTGTTTAGGATAAGGTAATGCAGAGGAAAAAAATTCTGTCACCATAGAAGTTAAGTCTAATGCCATTTAGTAAGTTGGCCTATGTTTATTAATTTATTATTATTATTATTTTAATTTTTATGTGGTGTTAAGGCTCGAACCCAGTGCCTCCTGCATGCTAGGCAAGTGCTCCAGCCACTGGGCTCCTCTGGCCTATGTTTAATGCCCTTTGATTGGAAAGCATTCTGGTTAGCATTTTGGAGGATACAAAATGGGAAAAAAATTGGATTAGCTCTCAAGAAGTGTGCCATCACTAAGGAAGATATATACAAATGGGAGCTAGTTAACTGTACTCGGTTGCCATTGTGCCAGGCAAGTTATATACCCTTGAAGTCTGTGGGCAGTCCTGGACATCTCTGGGAACTTACTGGAAATGAAGAATCTCAGGCCCTGCCCTGATTTATTTGATCATTCTTAATTTTTGTATATCTCATGAAAGTTTGAGAAGCAGTATTATGTGGTATATCTTATTTATTTATTTATTTATTTTGGGGCCTGGGGATTGAATCCAGGGGCTTTTTACCACTGAGCTACATCCTCAATCCTTTTAAAATTTTAAAAATTTTGAGATAGGGTCTCCCTAAGTTTCTGATTGTCTCCTTAAGATGGTGAGGCAGACCTTAAACTTGTGGTATTCAGCCTCCTGAGTTGCTGGGACTACATGCCTGTGCCACTTTACTTGGTTTATTTCATTAATTCTTAACAGTTTAATGAGTTAACTAAAATTGCATGAAGAGCATGAGGAAATAAAGGTATTTTGTTGGAGGATAAACTGGAGACTCACTTTGGTGATCAGCTTTTCATATGAATATAATTACTGTATTTGATTCTTACTTCAGAAGTGTCAGAAATTACACCTACCTGGGTGTGGGTGGTGCACACCTGTAATCCTAGTGATTTGGGAGGCTGAGGCAGGAGGATCTCAAGTTGAAGGTTAGCCTCAGTGATTTAGCAAGGTCCTAAGCAATTTACACCCTGTTTCAAAAAAATTAAAAAGAGCTGAGGATRTAGGAGATATATGTAGCTCAGGGGTGAAGTGCCCCTGGGTTCAATCCCTAGTACCTAGCTAGTTAATCAGAATTGATCAGATTTTTKGGGATTTACTCAAGCTAACTAAATTAATGAAAAACTGATGTGCAGAATAGAATGATTTATTAGGGTTGTTTTAGAGGTAGTTGATGTATTGATATATTGACCAAAAAGCTGGTTACAGCAGTGAATATATTGTTTTATGAGAGTTAAGCTTTGTGAGAGATTGGGTTGAACTCCAATGCAAAGAAAAGGTACCAACTCCAATTTTAGATCAAATTAAAGCAAGCTTTAAAGAGAGCTGATCAGTGACTGTCTCTCCTAACTTGAGCTAGAGACCAGCCCTCCAGCTCTGCAAGAATGAGATTTTATAGCACAAAAAGTTGCAAAGGGGGTGTCTTGAGAACTTACAAATAACAGGATTTTGACAAGCATAATACAAAGGCAGATAGTAGGTTAATAATCTACATGACATGATATTTCAAGGTAGGGAGTAAATTCAGATCCCAACATCAGAATTTATGAAGCGCCTCTGAGGTTTCAGAGCGGGTTGTTATCTGATCAGGGGGAGCTAGGCATGGGTGAGTTCAAGGCATGGGCAGGAATTCCAAACTAATTTAGAAATCTCAGTAATTTATAGTAAAACAGAAATGAACTTTTCATGATTTTGTGATGAGATGGCTCCCAGTCTTAAGATGGAATTAGGCTCGGTTCATCAGTTRTTTATAGTTCAAAAGCTGCTTGAGGGACAGGGAATCACACACACAAATAATAGTTCTGAAGGACATACGCATTACCCTGTCAGTCTCCGAAGGCCATTTCTGATCTGTCTCTTGCTAATAAGCACAATAAATACTTGTTGAGGACAGGTTATGGTTTAATCAAAGCCTTACTATTAATTTCCCCAAAACATTTTATACTTAAAAATATATAAAACCAGTTTTAGGCTTTAGTTCCTCACCTCCTTACAGGTATCGTTCTATTTCACCAGGCTCAACAAATGCTTTTTCACAGTGCCAAGGTGTTCACTCACACTTCTTTAAAAACTACATGCCAGGAATGGTAGTACATACTTGTAACCCACCCACTCTGGATACTGAGGCAGGAGGATCACAAATTCGAGGCCAGCCTCTGCAATTTAGTGAGATCCTGTCTCAAAAAATAAAAAGGGCTGGAAATGTTAGTGAGTAGTAGAACACTCCAAGGTTAATCTCCACTCCAAGGTTAATCTCCAGTACCACAAAACAAACAAAAACATCTACAAAAAAAAAAAAAAAAAAACCTCTTTGTAGAAATATATATATGTTATAAATAATCCATCTTTAATCTTGAGATTTTTTAAAGTTGTAAAGGTGGAAAAATTTTCTGGGTAACATAATTTTTGGTTCCAACTCCGTGGTTCATGCCTGTAATCCCAGCGGTTTGGCAGGCTGAGACAGAAGGATTGCAAGTTCAAAGCTATCCTCAGCAATGGTGGGGTACTAAGCAACTCAGTGAGAACCTGTCTCTAAATAAAATACAAAATAGGGCTGGAGATGTGGCTCAGTGGTAGAGTGCCCCTGAGTTCAACCCTTGGTACCAAAAAAAAAAAAAAAAAAAAAATTTTTTCTTAGGATTATCTACTAGAGGGCGCTTTTGTGCTCAATTTAGAAAAGTTTTTTTTTTTTTGTAAGAGTATATGCATTGAAATTGTTATGCTTATGTGAAGTATTTTTGTACTTTAACCCTGTATAATTTACTTTTTCCTAGATTAAAGATGTTACATAATAAGCTAAAAATTAAAGTTGAAAAAAGGTTAATTTTAAATCACTTAATTTCTTTTTTCTTTACTGAAAGAATATTTGATGGGCTAGGGATGTGGCTCAAGCCGTAGCGTGCTCATCTAGCATGCGTGAGGCACTGGGTTCGATTCTCAGCACCACATAAAAATAAAATGGAGATATTAAAAAAAAAAAAAAGAATATTTGAAATGAGATAGGACAAATTCTTTTTAAAGTTTCTGTGAAGTTTTTCTGAAGTTTCCCTAGCCAGAACATTTTTGTTTTTTCTTTCTTTTGTTTAAATGAAAAACCAATGCAATTGTTGAGTCTTTGGATCTTTAAACCTTATTTCTGTCTCTTAGAGAATTTTATGTAGGAGTAGAAGGATCTTCTGTTGTAACTAGTATCATGTTTTGTAATTAGAAACATGTCTAGGAAATAAACTATTTAGGTATGAAATTGTAACTTTTGGTAGGCCAGTGAGCTTTAGAAGGTGTATCAGTTTTTTTGTTTTAATAAGCTTCAGATACTCAAAGCTTACTCTAGGATGTACTATTTTTGTTTGTACTAAAATATTCTTTGTTACTTTGCATGCTTTGATAACATCACATGGTAAAATACCTCCAGTTCAGTTATGAGGGAAGTTTTACTTGTTTTTTGTTTCC